CGACGAGGGCAAGCACGAACTCAACAAAGGGAACGACTTGAGAGAGAGTTGCGGGCTGTTGAGAAACCTTTCAGCTAATTTGTTATCGTCTATTGGAGGCCTTAGAATGAACCTTCTTGGGGGTCCCTTCTTTGTGGAAGTTGCTTTCTTTCGTGCCGCGAGCTCCTTGAGAAGTCGCTGGGGACTGCTCTCGGGGGAGCCCTGTTGTGGCTCTACGGCCACCGCCAGAATTCGGAAAGGGGAGATTCGGGATTTGGAGTTTCTGATGAAAAGGTGAATCGGGAAAGGAGAGAGGGAGGAGGAGAAAGAGTAATTGCATGGTTTTGGGGAGAGTAAAAAAGAAGAAGAAAGTTCCATTATCGGAGAGTGACTGTGGTGGGAAATGTTGTTTGGAAAAGGTGGGTTGCGAACATTAAGGTGGTTAATTTCTGGGTTTGTGTACAACCTTTGGCACCATAGATGAGAGGGTTTAGGGGTTGGGATGGAGTCTTACAGTGTTGGATAAGGTGAAGCAGCAGCGTCGCGTCCCACACCCTTCGTTTAGCCGGATGCTTTCTTGGATATCTCAGATTTCAATTTTGTTTAGATAGCAAAACGCTGCCGTATAGTATAGATGCATGGGCTTTTAATTTCCAAACGACACGTCGTTTATTATCAGAGTTGTGCATCAATGAAATTTTGATAAGGTGATTTTGTAAATTTAAGACAGACCTACAAAAGATAGATAATCACATTAATTTTATCTGTTTACGTACTATGTAACTAAATAATACAATTAAAAAACGTGCTGTAAGATTTAAAACTATTTTATATATAATAAATAATCTCAATATAAATATAATACTATAACATATTTTTGCTAACTTATTTTTGTTATTAATATATAACGATATAAACCTATACTTTAGAATAATTGGTAGGATATTTTTTTTTCTGAGATTACACTACAATTAAAATAAATTTAAACCTAATTTTAACTCATATTTATTATACGTTGGGAGTCCAATTTCTTAAACTTAAACTCGCAAAAATATCCACACAAACTAAACTTTTATCTGTTTCTAATATTTTGTATTTTGAATTCCAAAGGATTATTTGGTGCAAGAACGAATTACATTATTAATTTTCCATTGCCAGTGGGCGAATAAATCACTTAGTACAAAAGTGAGTTTTAATATTTTTTTCATTTGATGTAAATAATGTTAGATGGTCACTTACACAAACTTAAAATCTCTATAGTGTAAAATTTTAAATATTTTAGAAGGCATATTTGTTGGCAGTAAAAAAATATTTGTTGGCAGTAAAAAATTGTTTAAGGATTTTTATTTGGTTTTCAAAAAATGGAAGTCTTGGATTTTTTTCTATTACTTGATTATAAAGCATAGTATTGGGGATATATAAATCAAAACTACTCTAGGTTATACTAAACCAGCAATATTTAGTTTATAGTTTAACGAGATTTGTGAGTAAACAATTTCAATTCTATATCTACTGAGAAATTTATTTGCAAGATGATAATAGATTATCATTATTTTGAATTTAGGTGAAATTTTTAAAATACAGTGATTAGCATAAATATTAAATAATTTAGACGAAAAACAAAATGGAAATGTAAAGGGAAAAATCATCTATCTAAACTGAATTCAAGGATTTTCGTCGGTAAAAATGGGAAAATATGTTACAGAGACAAGTGAAACAAAAATCCTTAGATTTTAACATCTATCTAAATTTGTGTGACGATTGTAACAATAAATAACTTACTTTTTCACTCAAACTAGAATGAGACTCGTGCGTACCCATGAGTTATTTTTTATTTTTTTAATTTGTATTTAAAAAATCAATATAATTATTATTATATTACATAAATAATTTATTTATGAAATTATATTTAGGTATTATAATTATATATTGTCATAAATATAATCTATAATTATTATTTATAATGAGGATAATTTTTTTTTCATATTTTTATTTTTATTTTATCATTTCCAATATATTATTTTTAACTTTTTAAATATTAACAGTTTAATAAATTAAAAGTCAAATTTTTTTACACTTAATAATTAGTTTAATATTTTTTTAAAATTTTGTTTAATAAGTCAAAAGTATTATGGTTATTTATTCAGTATGTTATATTAGATTATATCATATTAATCTCTCAAATATACATTACAATATTTTTTGTTGTAAGTTCTTAAAATTTTAAAAAATTATGTATCATATGTTTTATACATAGTTAAAAATAAATCTCATTACGAGGTATATAATACTTTTTTAAGAGAAATAACATAACACTTTGTCAAAAAATATATTTATACAAAA